TTATCATTGTTGACACACAACAACAAAATGTGTTCTCTGCATTTAACCTATATGTGACATAGCAGGGGGCAGCTAATTTAGTGCCCAGGGAGCAGTACCTTGTTGGTCAGGGATTCAAACCAGCAATCTTTCAATTACAAGGGTGCTTCCCTAACCATTAAGCCACCACTGCCCAGAGAGAAGACAGCTGGTGAGCAACAGCTTTTTCCAGGATCTTTGAACAGTGTAGTACTAATCAGTGGTGCAATCTCCTTGAGGATTTTTTTAGGAATTGGGTCTATGAGGCTAGAAGAGGATTTGCAGGGGGACACTAAGCTCAAAAGTTCTGATTGTTTGTTTTATAGGAAGGAAAGATTCAAAGGTCACATTATCAGTATGCATAGGACTATCAGGAGGCTGGCAGCTGTATGTAGCTACAGACGTGCACTGGATGGTCTGTCTAATCTTGTTATTTTACCATTTAAAAATGTAATAAAGTCATCACTCTTAAAAGCTTGTGAGACTTGCAAGTTCAACGTTGAAGAATTCAGACACAGATTCAAATACTGTAGGAATTTAGGATTATTTTTGTTCTCTTCAATTAGTCTGGAGAGGTACACAGATCTCACAGTCACTAGTGCTTGTCTGTACCTAGTGAGGTTCTCTTTCCAGGCAGATTTGAAAACTTCTAGTATAGTTGAGCGTCATTTGCGCTCTAGCTTGCGTGAAGCCTGTTTAAGTTCACGCGTATGATCAGAGTACCTGGGGGCAGGTTTCTTATCTCTATGCTTTATCATCTTAAATGGAGCTACAAGATCTAGGTGCTGCGAGGCGATTTCTCCATGTGCATAGTTACCCGTTCCAGTTCATTTTCACACGAGGCTTCGGAAGTAAGGTTTAAGGACTGTGGAAGTTAGTTGATAAACGTTGTTATAGTTAATTAGGCAATGAAACATCTGATACTGTACTTTGGAGCTGGAGCCGAAGGGAGGCTTTACTGTATATCAAACGCTAACAAGTAATGATCTGAAAGCAGAGGATTCTGAGGTATAATAGATATGTGTTCCACCAGGACACCATGGCTAAGAATCACATGCAGGTTATGGTTACAGGCATGAGTAGGCTGACTACATTCTAACATACACCTACAGAGTCTAGGATAGCAGCAAACATCGTTGTTAAAGGATCCCTGTCATTCTCCATGTGAATATTAAAATCACGGCTTTCTCAGTAGTGACCACCAGGATTGTTGAAAACTCCAGGGACCAGGTGGTCTATACACAATAAAAATGGTGACTGGAGGTTAGGGACCAGGCGGTCTATACACAATAACAATGGTGATTGGAGGTTAGGGACCAGGCGGTCTATACACAATAACAATGGTGATTGGAGGTTAGGGACCAGGCGGTCTATACACAATAACAATGGTGATTGGGGGTGAAGAACTACAAAGAGATGATTTGGCAAGACTAAGAAAAAGAATTTCAAATGTGCTAAAGCTATAAGCACTTTGCTCAGACACTCCTAGGTTAGACTGAAATATTGCAGCAGCACCAGCACCTTTGCCATCTGGGCGAGGGTTATGCTGTAATCAGCTGGAGTAGATTCATTTAGTGTCATGAATTCATTTGGTTTAAGCCAGGTTTCAGTTAGGCATAAGGACCAAGACTAAAATCAGTAATCATTT